ACACACAGGTAAAAGAGAGGACAGGGTGCCTAGGCTTTAGATCTAGTCATGGAGATTTCATAAAAAGCAGGAATCACTAAAGTGATTCCTGGTTCTCTGGAAGTTTCACCCTTACATTTGGGGAAATGAGGGTGGGATCAGGACCCTGCACTTTTCAGTCAAGATGGCATCAGTCAGCCTCCAAGCAAACCCCACAGATGGGTTTGCAATGTTCACTGCTGTCCAGCTCTGGGAAGGAGGGGAAATGTGCTGGAATGTGAATTAGCTAACCAGAACTACTTGCCATAATGGGGAGGGAAGAACAGATTGGCCAGGACTCCCAGAAAATTATGGCAATACCCAGGGGTGAGAAGAATCTATCCCAATGATGTTCCCCTTATTCTCACAGTGCAACTGTCCCTGCCCCCCACTCTATACCTGGGGGGGCTCCCCCGAAATTATGTAGCAGCCCAGCTGCACCTGCACTGGGGCCGAAAAGGGCAGCCAGGGGGGTCTGAGCACCAGGTCAACAGTGAAGCCACAGCTGCAGAGGTACTGGGAGACAAGATGCATGGACTTGAGTTGCTGAAGGGACAGGGTTGGAGAGCACTGGAGGGAAACCAAAGACCGGGGATGCTGGGAGATAGGGTTGGGGAAACATTGGAGGCGGTGAAGCCCGGGAACTAGGGATGCTGGGAGCTCAGGAGACAGAAACACTGCACTAGAGACACGGGGAACATCAATCCTCTCTCCCCACAGCTCCACATTGTCCACTATGACGCCGATTCCTTTAACAACCTGAATGAAGCTGCTCAAAAGCCTCAGGGACTAGCTGTTCTGGGCATCCTCATTGAGGTCAGGGGTCCCCTAAATCCCCTCCCTGCTGCGTCCCTTACTTTTCTCCCCTCAACCTTAAGTCTTTCACTTATTTCATTTCCTATATCAGCTTGTTTCCTTCCATAGCGTGGGGAGGAGAGGGTGGTGGGCATACAGTGATCACCATTCTGTTCAAGGAAGAGATTAAAAAAAAAAATAAGTCAACCCTGATTATCCTAGAATTATCCCTGGAATGTCAATGACCCCAGACTCCATATCCTCAAACTATCATCTCCCCATTCTAGGTAGGTGAGAACCAGAGCCCAGCTTATGAACACATCTTGAGTCACTTGGAAACAATCAGGTATAAAGGTAAGCCCCAAAGAAATTGTAGTAGGATGGAACAAGGTTAGCTCTCAGGCAGACTTAGAATTGTAAAATTAAAGTATTTTAGATATGGCAAGGATTTTAGGAATCAGTAAAGCAACTCCTTTCTGATGTATAACATCCCCACAAGTAGGTATCTAGCTTTGAACACCTCCAGGGACAGGGAACTCATTATCAACATGAGGAAGTCATTCTGGTTTTAAGACAATTTCAATTCTAAGTTCTTTCCTGGGTTGAGCCAAAATGTATCTCCACCTCCTCCCCCTATTTGATTTTAGTTCCTAATGGTAAAAGCAGCTTGGGATCAGGGAAGACTAAGCAGGACTGAGTTGTCTCATTACTTGGAAAGCACCGAAATTCATGTTTGGTTAAGGCAGGAGAACAGTAAGAGAGATGAATTTTGGCTAGTGCTCCCCATCCCTTCCCTTGGAGCAGCTAGACAGTGAAGTGAATAGAGTACTGGGCCTGGATTCTGGAAGACTCACCTTCCTAAATTCAAATCTGGCCTCAGATATTTACTAGTTGTGTGACCCTGCGCAAGTCACTTAACCCTGTTTGCCTCAGGTTCCTCATCTGTCAAATGAGCTGAAGAAAGCAATGGCAAACCACTCCAGTGTCTGTGCCAAGAAAACCTCCAATGGGATCACTAAGAGTCAACTGAAATGACTGAACAACTCCTCTTTAATCCTCTGTCTTCCTTAGGTCAATCCACCTTGGTGCCGCCCTTTAATGTGGGAGGACTGCTTCCTCCAGAGTTGGGGGAATACTACAGGTACAATGGTTCACTCACTACCCCTCCCTGCTACCAGAGTGTTATCTGGACTGTCTTCCGCAGAAAAGCTCAGATTTCTATGGAGCAGGTGAGATGAAGAGGTAGACTGGAAGGGGTGAAGGATTTGGCAGTTCTATCCCCAATACCTGTCTCTTTCCGCCAGTGACCCCTCAACTGTTCTCCCTTTCCCAGTCCTTTATTGTATACTCTGCCACCCTCAGCCCCTACTACTCCTTTTCCCTCAGCTGGAGAAGCTACAGGAGACTTTGTTCACCACAGAGGAGAACAGTCCCTCCCAGTTACTGGTCCAGAATTACAGAGCCCCTCAGCCCCTCAACCATCGACTGGTTGTTGCCTCCTTCATCCCAGGTGAGGGTGCAGAGAGTAAGGAAAAAGGAAGGGCCCTGAAGGGTAGGAACAGGGAAACCACTGGAGAATGAAAAGCAGTTGGTGGGATTTAAGATATACAGGCAGTGGGGTATAGAAATCTATCCTGCCCTACAGGCAAATAGAAGGGAAAGGGGAAAAGAAAAGAGGCAGGGGGAGAGATAGAAGGGAGGGCAGATTAGGGGAAGGGGTATTCAGAATGCATGCCATCTTGGGGTGGAGGGAGGGATGAGATGGGGAGAAAATTTGGAACTCAAAATCTTGTGCAAGTGAATGTTGAAAACTAAAAATAAATAAATTAATGAAAGGCAGTTGGGGAGGTAAAGGGCTCCAAGATTGCCACGAGTTCTGAGACTCTAGGGTGCTGGAGTTGCTCTCCTGAAAGATGAAATCGGACTGGTGAAAACACGATCTGATCTGGCTACTCTTCCTTTGCAGAAGGAGCCTTGTATTCCACAGGTAAGGCAACCCTTACCCAGCTTCAAATGGATAGCCTCTGTGTGTGTATATGTGTGCATGTATGTGTATGTGTGTGTGCATGTGTGTGTGTGAAGGGCCTGACCCAACTTCACACAGATATCTCCTATGGGTGTGTATGTGCATGTGTGTGTGTGAAGGGCCTGATCTAACTTCACATGGATAGCCCTTATAGATGTATATGTGTACATGTGTGTGTGAAGGGCCTGACCCAACTTCACATGGATATCCCCTATGGGTGTGCATGTGTGTGTGTAAAGGGCCTGACCCAACATCACATGGATATCCCCTATGGGTGTGTATGTGTACATGTATGTGTGTGTGTGTGTGTGCATGTGTGTGTGTGAAGGGCCTGACCCAACTTCTCACAGATATCCCCTATGGGTGTGCATGTGTGTGTGTGAAGGGCATGATCTAACTTCACATGGATAGCCCTTATAGATGTGTATGTGTACATGTGTGTGCGTGAAGGGCCTGACCCAACTTCACACAGATAGCCCCTATGAGTGTGTATGTGTGCATGTATGCATGTGTGTATGTGTGCATGTGAATGGCCTGACCCAACTTCACACAGACAGCTCCTATGAGTGTGTATGTGTGCATATATGCATGTGTGTGTGTGTGTGTGTGTGTGAAGGGCTTGACCCAACTTTACCCGGATAGTCCCTATGAGCGTGTATGTGTGCATGTATGCATGTGTGTGTGTGTGTGTGTGTGAAGGGCTTGACCCAACTTTACCCGGATAGTCCCTATGGGTGTGTATGTGTGCATGTATGTGTATGTGTATGTGCGTGGGTGTGTGAAGGGCCTGATCTAACTTTACATGGATAGCCCCATAGGTGTGTATGTGTGCATGTGTGTGTAAAGGACCTGACCCAACTTCACATGGATAACCCCTATGGGTGTGCGTGTGAGTGTATGTGTGTGTGGCCCAACTCAGTCCATGGTCTAATAGTTCTTTGGCTCTCTCAGGTGAAATGGTGGGTCTAGGCCTAGGAATCTTGTTCGGCTGTCTCTTCCTCTTGCTTGCTGGTTACTTCATTGCCAGGAAAATTCGGTGAGACTACCTTCCAACCTCCTTAGCAGACCCTTATAACAACCTTTCTGTCTCATGAAGTCCCAGCTCTAAACTGTTGCCTGAAGATAGGAATAAATCCTCTGGCTCACCCGCTTTCCCCATAATTCATCTGCTTCTTCCCCAGGAGGAATCGGCTGGGGGAACAGAAGAGTGTTGTCTTCACGTCATCCCGACGCGCTACCACGGATGAGTAGAGACCCTCGCAGATACCCCTTCACCACCACTTTTCAGCCAACCTGGAAGATTCAGTGCTGGGACATGGCAAACGATAGCGGTAGCACTAACAGTTGAATGTCCCTCCTTCCTCCTCACAGCTCCTTGGGGAGCAAGCTTGGACTCCTAAGGAAAATAGCCTGGAAAGCTCTTACCATCAATGGAAAGACGGGAAAAGCCATAGGATTTGTTTTCGTAGATAGGACAATGTTTTTCCCTGAGAAGGAAGAACTAGTTGTACTCAAGAATCCCCTCTTACCTTTCAATATCTTCCCTGGACAGTACAGTCCCTTGGAAAGAGGGTTGCTGTAGGATGGGTTCAAGAATCCATATTCTGAATGTTTTGGGAAATAAAACATTTTTGACCACACCGTAACTCTTATCTTTTTGGCTACTGGATTGGGTGAGGATTAAAGAAACCTGCCTGGCCTATAGTAAGTGCTTAATGTTTGCTGACTGACGGAAAGACAGAAATTGCACATACATAGATTTCCCCAAACCATCTTCTATTTTGAGCAACCATTAAGTGACAGAGGACCCCTATGAAACCTGGGTTATACCAGATATTTGAGAATGTTGGGAGGATGGCAGGGAAGGGTAAAGAGAGAAAAGGGAAATGTTTAGAGCAAAAGTTCTTCACCTAGGGTCTGTGAACTTTTTTTAAAAAAATATTTTGATAACTGCATTTTCATGTAATTAGTTTCCTTGTAATCCTATGTATTTTATTTTATGCATTTAAAAACATTATTCTAAGGAGGGGTCCATAGGCTTCATCAGATTGCCAAAGGGTTCCATGGCACAAAAATTCAGAACCCCTGGGCTAGAGAGACCCCCAGAGGTCAAAACCCTGTGTAATAACTTACCTACTCCCAAAAGCCAAATCCCCATACATAGTTATAAAATTCTTTTTATTAGTCAAAAATCACACTTACTTTGATTAAAAGGATGGGATATGCCATCCCCAGCAGAAAATAATACATTTTATAGAAAAGTCATTCCCTCTTTTCTCCCTCCCCATTCTCCCTCCCTCCCCATTAAAAACTAGAAAAAAATTCCTGCTGTCCGTCCACAAATCCTTATAGGCCATAACCCTCAGTGGCACTCTGGCCCTATAGCACTCCAGGCCACCCCAGCTCTCTCATTGTAGGATAAAAATTATTAAGTTCCAGTCATCCCAGTTTCTGGGAACAGACAGAGAGAGAGAGATGAGGAGCAGAGATTACTATCTCCCTAACACACTCTTCACTCTATTCCCTAGGATCTCTGGCCAGTGGGAGAAAAGGGAAAAGATGAAGGACAGAGGGAGTAGAAGAATTGGGAAAATAGGCTAAGACATTTTGGAGGAAGCAGCTTCAAACTCCTCTCCCCCCAAAAGGCAGTTTGGAGTCTCTGTCAAACCAAAAATGATTTCCCTCAGACCTGAGAAAAAGAGATATCCAATTGGGGTGGGGGGGAGGGAAAAGGGCAGAAGGGATAGATAACAGGGAACTTCTTAGATCCCTGCAAACCCCAGTAACCTCTTTACCCTCAGGTACCCCAATTTTATCTCCTGGGCAATGACTAAGCTAGGCCACCTCCCTTAGCAGCTGTCCATAGTTGGAGATGGAGAGAAAGACAGGAGACAAAGAGGGTGCCCCTGGCCCTCAGGGTTTCCCCCAGGTCCCCTCAGTCCTCGGGTGGGATGCGCAGGGCAGAATACACCATCACCCGACTGTCCTCCTGCCGTCGGCCTGCAGAGGGGAAGGGATGTGAGTCTTGGACAGGATGGGGAAGTGGAAGGACCCAGGGCAACAGGGGGTCCTCAAAGGGTGGGGAGTTTCAAACCCTCTAACCATTGACCGGCTGTCCCCTGGCAGCTCCCGCTGTGGCCTAGAGAGCAAAGGTCAAGAGTGGACAAAGTGAAACCCCTGAGGATGGGGAAGGGGAAGTAGGTGGAAGGGAATTATACAGAGAAGAGTAGCAGGGGCACTAAGGTGGGAGTGGGGCAGGGCTCAGTCTTGGATAGTGGGCAGGCAGGTGGTGGTCAGGCAGGCGATCAATCCAAGTGGTCGGTCCTTACACGAGAGGCTGCGCTGGATACTTCGGAGGGAGCCTCCAGCTGTGATGAATGCCCAGATCCCCATGGATAGAGTAACTGCATAGATGGGCAATAGGCTGGCTTCATACCAGGGATTCAGAAATGTCTAGGGAGAGGGAATAGTGATTGAAGAGTAGAAAATGTTCCCTCCATTCCAACCCCGGCTATCTTCTGAGCCTTAACAAAACCTTCTCCAGACCTTTCACTTTGCCCCAACAAAACTCAAATAGCGGTACTATGCCTCTTCCCACCGAAATGCTGCTTTTCCTCTTAGCTCGGCCCTCAAGCCCCTGATTCTCTTCTCCCAGAGACACCCATTCCTGACTCACCAGTCCTGATGTCAACAGGTGACTCCCAACAACCAAGCCCAAGGCCCAATATCGTCTCCTCTCACAGGCATCAAAAAACACAATCCCCCAAAAGGTATGAAGCAAAATGACGGCTGCTGTCAGAAACGCTGGGGAAAGAGAAGGGGATCGCTTGAAGTACCTCTCCAACCCTCAACCCTGCTGACTTCCTCCCAGCTCCTCTGGGGGAAGCAGTCTAGAGAGTTTTCCAGGGAGAACTTGATAGGGCATTTCCCCTCCAGGCTGGACACAGCCAAGTGCTGAGAGATGCTATGGTCTAGAATGGAGATTTAGGGAATGGGTCTTACCTGAGGTTAAGAAGTAATAGGGTGAATCTCCATGAATACCAACCACACCTGGACCAAGTGCATCTGCCAAGATGTTGATAACAGAAAAGACGCCGCTGATGATGCCGAAAGATAGACCAGAAACTGAGGAGATGGGCAATCAGCAAGATTAAGAGGGGCAAGGACCATTCACCTGACTTCCTACTTACTCCTCCCACCCAGCCATTCATCCTCTCAGTCCCACTGCCCCAGACTTCATGTGGAAGGGTCTGGTAGCGAAAGGGGAGAGATGAGAAGCCACTGAGACCAAGCTACTCTGCTAGTCACCCCTCCCTGGCTCACCATAGGCCATCTGTCGGATGGAGATGGGAGATCTTCCGTCCTCACTCAGCGATGCTAACCCCTCATCTGCCTTCCTGGAGGGGATATGAGGGAGGGTGGGGGGGCTCCTTTCCCCCAGGGCCCTCCCATAGCCCTCTCCCTTCAATACCCACCCCAACAGCCTGTCCCTGTCCCCCCTCAATGATCTTCCAGCCCCTACTGTGCTCCCACCAATGCCTCGACCCCCTCATCCCCCCAGTGTCCCACTCCCTTACTTAAGTAGCTTGTAGTAGGCAAATCTGAAAACCTCCTGAAGCAGGACTGAAACGGCAGCACCAAAGATGAGGAGGCCATATTGGAGCCGAGTGTCTGACTGATCAGTCACATGCACCAAGATGAACCAGACCACAGAAGCCAAAAGGAGAGAGACCAGCCAAAAAAATGCCCTGAGGAAAGGCCGGGGGGGAAATCAGAAGAAAGGGGAGATGGTATGGGCAGTCAGGAGGCTTAACAAAGAGAGATCATTTAATGGAACAACAAGAAAAGTGGAAGTTAGATTTGAAGGAGGATTTTCGCACGGTAGGAGTCACCTAAGGATTAAGAGAATGAACTGGATGAAATAAGGCTGGCTTTTCTTTCCTGTTAAAGCCCTCATCAGTAAGAGCATCAAGATTAGGCGAGTGACAAAGGTCTGGGCAGGACCAAAGAGTAGGCAGAAAAGTGTGTGTGGGTGTGCCCATTTTAGGGGGAGGGAAGGAGAAACCGAAAGACGGGAAGGGCAGGATTCCTGGGCCCTCCCTTGAGGCGTGGCTCCTCCGGGGTCGGCGCCCCCAGTCCCAAAGAGTCATCTCGGCCTTGGGGGGTGGGGGGGTTCTGCCCACGGAAGGCTCGGGGGGCCTTCAGCTTCCGAAGGTCAACATCAAGACACTGGAAGGTGGGAATCTCTGCCACATGGGAAGGCAGAAGTAGCCAAGAGTGAAGGGATAAACTACCCACGGCCTCCGGACTAGTGGGCCACGTACCCTCTCCCCCGGCACCCACCTTCCTTGCCATCTGATCGTCCAGGGCTTCCTTTCTTCCATAGCCTCCGGCCGCCACCCCCCCCACCCCTCTTCCCTTCCCACGCCCACTCACCCGGCCACCAAGATGATGACCCGAAGCGGGTCCCCGGCCACCGTGACCAGAAAGAGCGAGAAGGCTGGGCCGAAGGCCACGAAAGTACATCCGAAAAAGACCGCGGCACCCATGGCGGGGCCTTGGGGATGGGATGGGGGAAGGTGGGAAGGGGAGCAAGGGGAGGACAGGAACCTACAAGGGAAGGGGGTGGGGGGCAGCTGACCAGTGGGGGGGGTCGATTTCTGCCCCAGTAGGGGCACGGTGCAATGTCACCCCCAGGCCCCGGAGAGGGGGGAAGGGGCGGGGGGGTGGGGGGAGGGGGGGACACTGACGCCCCAGCAGCCGGTCCGCCCGACTTCCCCTACGGAGGCCGAGTTGGGGACATCCCCAGGCCCCAGCCCAGCCCCATCGCCCTCCCTTCTTGTCCCCACCCCCAAGGCCAATGGTGAGATTGTAGGAGGCGTGGCTACAGTTGGGGAGTTGTTTTTTTAGGGAGGGATGTTGCATCCCGGGAGTTGTAGTTCCTAGTTCCTCCAGTCTCTACCCCTCCCTAGGGTGTGGTTTAGTAATTTACGCCAGGTACGGACAAAAGGAACTGAGTTGAACTTGAATTGGGCTTAGAGCCAGGACAACTAGGTTCTGCCTCCAAACCCCTCTTCTCTTCTATTCCCAAGCTCTCTTAGGTTGCAGTTGCTATCAGTAGCAAAGGGTGGTGGGACTCCCACTGCCTCCTGGTAGGCTGTAGAAAGGTTGGAGGTGGGGGAGAGAATGCCTGAAAAAAAACCCAAGGGCTGTTGTGGGGGGCGGGGGGCGGTGTGAGGCACAGTAGGGCAGATGGGGACGCTCATTGTTTTTAATTGAATGGAAGGAAATGGATCGGGGATACAGCAGAAAAGATGAAACTTAAAAGCCCCAGTGAGAATTTACTGTCTTACATGAGACCTGGAACCCAGGAAAGCATCGGAAAGACCTCCATCTGTGAATGTAATAGTGAAAGAAGGAATAATGAAAGAGGAAAGGATGCTCCTTGAAAGGACTGACTTCAAAAGAAGCGGTTCTTATGAAGAACAAGAAAGTTTTCAGTACTGTACTGTGCTGTCTTTTGGTTGACAGCTAACAAAGAAACTCAGCCCCCTTCCTTCCCCCACCCCCACCTTTTGTGTTACACTTCCTTTATTTAGTTTCTGAAGATGTATTTTTGTGATATCTTGTTCTTCAGACTGACTGATGGAAGAACAGAGAATTAGAAACCTAGTTCAAATAGCCTGCACAACCACATTGGGATGGAGCACAGTTCTTGGCAAATAAATGTTTGTTGACTGATTGGAGATACTTAAGATCTTCTAGGGGACTTTTCAAATGTTTAAACGAGCCTTGGGAGGAAGGGAGAACCAAGGGTATCATTTTTCCTGGAATTCATGTGAAGGACTATTGCCAGTCAATACAGAGTGTAAACGAGGATACAGAATGAGGAGATTAGGTCCAGTCAGGACAGAAACACAAAGTTTCAGGGGGTTGGACCAAATAACTTTGGGAGTGAGAGGTCCGGTGTCTACAGAAAGAGAGGTTGACCTTCTCTTTCCTCCTTCTTCCAATCTGTGAACAGGAACTTGGAGCAGAGTTAAGGTGAGGTAATAGTTAACCGAAGAGCCAGGAAGGAAGTTACAGCTGTGCCTAGGAACTTTTATGGGAAATGCTTTGGGATCCAAACGGTGGAACCATCATCACATGATGCATAAATAAGATAGAAGAGAGTCTCAGTCTTCAACCTAGGGGATCTCTTCCTCTCGCAGCCTCCCTCATCCTACCCTGCTCCTCATCTGTTTGTGAGAAAGGAAGAACTTCACTTTTTCTGGCAGGGACTCCAAATTGATGGTCAGATTAAGGAAGGGAAATATCCCCATTCTTTGCATCAGTGAGGCAAGAGGATAGGAAAAATCCATATTGTGATGGACAAAAGCTTAATAGTTAATATATGTTAGAGTAAACGAAAGTAAATCTGTAGAACAAGAAATGTATATACATTGACTCCAAATGCACGTAGTGCCACTCTTCTTTTGGTTCCTGAACAAAACCAAAAGTCATACCAGGTAACAAAAATTTAGATGGACTCTGTTATAAATAAAAAAAAAACCAAGAGTTTCTGGGTAAATAATAATAAATGTATTAATTAGGCTTATCCAGCAAGCAATAAATTGAAGATCAGTGGGTTCTCTCAGTAATCAAACAATGGAGACACTGAATGCCTTAAATACCTTTTGTATAAGGGAATGCCCCTGACAAGAGAAAATCAACCCTGATTGGTGGACATTTAATAAGGAGGTAGGCTAGAGGTCTTCTGCTCCTCCTACTGAGAATGTGGTTTGATTACAAGGCTCAGCCGCTTCCAGCAACCTGGACAGGAAATCCATCTCCATCCAGACCACTCTGGTTGGTTTTCTCCTTCATGAGCTGGGTCACCCTAAACTCTAATGGAGGGGTACAAGCACAGCATTCCTTTCCCTGGGGTAGGAACTCACCTATACTGGATTCTGTTTATATTCCAAATAGAAGTTAGGTCTCCTAGTTGGATGGGATCCTGCCCAAGACTGAAGACCATGTTCTTTGAGGGCTAAGAGCAATTCCATCAATCAGGTCACGTCTTCAGAGACTGAATTTTTACAGGGCCTAGGCCTTAAATGAGGAAATAAAAGAGCCTGCTTCCCAATTTAATAATTGGTTATTAATATAATAGTAAACTAATTTCTCTCAACTTGCAAGAACTCTCATTTTGTTTGCTTATTGTTTGTTAATTCATCTGGTCATTAAATGCTGAGGGTTGTCTGTAATATTCTTTTTTGTTTTTGTCAATGATTATTAAATTTATAATAAAATAAATGTGTTAATGAACAAATAACGGCTTGTTGATTATTCGATGAATTATTCTTCATAAATGGAAGGACAGTCTGAAGTAGAGGATAAAGTGCTGACTTGGAGCCAAAAATTTGGATTTATGTCCTGACTTAACTGTATGATAATGGATAAATCACTTAACAATTCAAAGTCTGTTTCTTCATTTTTATTTTTATTTAGTTATTTTTTACTAGAAAACTTTTTATTGTAGGTGGAGTGGGAGAGTGAGACATAGTTTAGACGATTCCAATTTTGTTGGCAACATCTAAAGCAACATAGTCTGGAGCAAGTTGGACATAGGCCTTCTTCTCTCCATTAGACCAGATCGGTGTGCTGACCTTGGCCATGTCGATGTCACACAGCTTCTTGACCGCCTGCTTGACCTGATGCTTGTTGGCCTTGATGTCCACAATGAAGATGAGAGTGTTGTTGTCCTCGATCTTCTTCATAGCAGACTCAGTGGTCAAGGGAAACTTAATGATGGCATAGTGGTCAAGCTTGTTTCTCTGAAGGGCACTTTTCCAAGGGTATTTGGGCTGCCATGGAAGTCTTAGTGTCTCGGGTTGCCAGAAGGTGAGGGATCAGATCTTTTTCTTTTTGTGGCTATCAACACCCTTCAACACAGCCTTCTTGGCCTTCAAGGCCTTGGACTTGGCTTTTACCTCGGGGGGGGGGGGCACAACCACTTCCTTCTTCACCTTCGGTGCCATCCTGGGGGAAAGGCTATTCATTTTTAAAATGAGAATAGTAATGCTTTTTTCTACCTACCTTGAAAGGTTGTTGTTTTAAGAAAAGTACATTGCAAACCTTAAAGCGCCATATAAATGTGAGTAGTTATTAATTATAGTAGCTGTCATGTAACTGACATGGTTTATTGTGTTAATAACATGAATTAATTCCAAGTAAGGTCTTGTCCAGTTTCACTGAAGTAAAATGTAAAAGATAGAGGTTGTGGGTAAATGAATTGCTAATGTTGCATGGGGAAAAAATCAGCAAATTTCCATAAAACCTATAAAGGTTTCAAAGTTCTGGAAAGGATATTACAGACTCTATCCAAAATAACACATTAAAAGAACTTCAAGGCTGACAATAACACTCCCAAAGAAAAAATATAACCCCCCCCCAAATTTTGGCATTCCATCAAAGAAAGTGACACAAACTTCAAGGTGGGGGGCATTGAGCAATATCCTCGGACTATTTCTATAAATGGAATCAGCAAAAACAAACCAAGGCATTATTTTGGTTGCACAGGATTCCTTGGAATACCAATAGGAATTGCTGAATTCTGGGAAGACTTCTGATTTCTCAGTGATATCACTAAAGTTTGCCTACCCCTAAATCTCTGATAGCCATGAACATTATTGTGTGCAAAAATGTGGGAATCTGTATTTTTGAATAATATTTTATTTTTTCCCCAACTACATGTAAAAACAATTGAATTTGTGTTTTTTTAAATGAGTGTCTCCAGGTATATTTATAATGTATACATTTTGGCTAGGATTGATGAAACTTCTTAAACAAATAGATTCTTAACAGTTAAAACATTTTTTAAAAAGTAGAATTCAGCTTCCATAAGTGATTTACTCTAATTTGGATCAATGCTGATTTGGGTGTTTGGATAGTTGGGGACAGTGAAGAGAGAACTCTGGGTTGGTCCACTGTAGGAGTAATCTACACCCCCCCACACACAAATCCAGGAGTCTTGCACAGTCCTATTTGAGGATTCAGTTAGTTTGTGATGGACCAAGGAGCTAGGACCATAGCAAGAAAAAGTAGCTTCAGTTTTGATTACTTCCTGCTGGGAGTGGGGGGGGGGGGGACACACACACGAGAAGGGGGAAGAGAAGTACAGATGTAATTTCCTTTTCTTTTTTTTTTTAAACTTCACTGCTCTGAGTCAGAAGCCAGAATGGATGTCCTACTTGTAGTCATAGCTGCTGTGCCGCTCATCTTGGGTAAGATCATTCCTTCTTCTAGCCCTCACCAGAATTCTGTGTCTAGTAGTTAGGGAACAAGGTGGGGAAGAAGATGAAAAGTGTGGAGGGAATAAAGGGTGGAGAAAAGAGTATGACAAAAGGAGCAATTCCAGTCTCATCTGTAACTGGCATTCTGGGTCCAGAATCTAGGTGGTGAACATGGGAATAGAGAAAGTAGGAGATCGAACCTAGAAAAGAATAGGCTGAGAAGGGTCGAGACTACAGACTTGGAGAGATTTCAGAAAAAAAAAAAAAAAAAAAAAGGAAATCATTGTTCTCTATCTCCAAGGAAGGCAGAGCAAGAAAAGGCAGCTGAAACTGCATGGTAAGAGGAAACTCCATTTTATGATTGGGGAAAACTAGGAGCAGGGTGACATTAGATGGTTGAAGTAACTTTGTTGCTGGAGAGTAAAAGAAAGACTCCC